TCCTACTTCTTCCTCAACCTCACTTTTTTCTTCTTCTCTTTCTCCATCATCATCAACTTCATTTTTTTTTCTTTTTCTCTTTCTTTATATTCTTTTTGAGAAAATTATGGTTCTACTTGAGAAGAAGAAACTACTTCAGATGCAAGTTCTTCTAAAAGAGTGGAAGTGAAATTTCCATTCTTCTTTCTACAAGTTTTAGTCCGTGACCACTTCTGGATATTTGTGTCAGTTTTTTCATTTGTTAATATAATTTTTATTTTGACATGAGGCATTATATTTGTATCCTGCAACCACAAAATCAAATATTTCTTAACAAAAATAACGACAACCAAACACAACAACACAAACAACAAATACGATTCAATACCACACATGAACCAACCAACAAACTACAAAACCCTAACCAACCAACTACAAATTAAGCTTTTTGAAATAAGATTATATTTCAAAAGGAGTAACAACCAACCAAACCAACCATCTTACAAACAAATAAGTGATAAACCACTAAAAACGTCCTGATTTAATATATATCAGTAAGTATTTCAAAATCCTAATTAAATTTTACCTGACATATCAACGATAAATTAGGAATGATGAGGGCAACGACGACTTGTTCTAGAAAATATCGCAATAGAATACACTGATGTTGTAGAAAATATCACAACAACAACTGGATCTGTGAAGAGATGAGATGAAAGGAAATAAGAGAAAAGAAAATGAAAATTAGTAAAAGTAAATTAAATTTTAAATATGAAATGACCTTTTATTGAGGAGAGAGGGAAAAGGAAGGACGAATCGTTTTCAACCTTTTTTTTTTTGAATTTTGACAATATAATGTTGCAACATATGACAATTAAAAGTGACATATGTTGCCACATATATCCTTTCTGTTGGGGTACATGCAGATAATTATATGGATTGTTTTTTACAACAGAGGTTATATATGTTGCCACATATCACCTTTCTGTTGGGGCACATGCAGAAAATTATGTGGTTTTTTTTTACAACAAACGCTATATGTGTTGCCACAGATACCACATTTCTTCCTTTCCAATATAATTGACATTTGTTCTAATACAATAAAATTAATAATAATAATCATTAATATTAATATTATCAGCAAAAAAGAACACTTCACCAGTTGTTTTTTACAACTTATCAACAAAAAAATAATTCACAATGGTATACATAACCATCAAAACTATATCTAATCAATGGTGGTAACCACAACATTTTCATCTATGAACTTTGAATTTTTAGGTCTAGGACTCTGTGGGTCTTCATTGTTACTAACATAGCCACTCCGAGCCCTTAAAACTCCATAATTTCATAGGAGTGAAGCATATCTCGTGCGAAAGGTTTGAGAAATAATTCCATAAGATGATACTTGTAGTCCATCACTCTAAAACTCAGCGTATGTAGCAACAAAAAGTCCACAATCTCTGATTGGTATATCATCAATTAGAAAATAGTTCAAATACATAAACAGATCCCTAAACTTGTTGGGTTTTCCCTCAGGTACCTCAACTACGCCATTTTCCTATTGAATCATTGAGCCACCCATAATTTGTTTCTTTTAAACACCGTTGGCTAATGTGGAACCAAACGTGATCTCATGTCGTTTGAGCACGTGAAGACGCTTTAAAGTCGCTGATGTGGATCCTGCACCACCCACCAACGATCTTCTTCCCCCTTTTAACCCTAATTTCTCCCCTTCTTCTCTTATTTCTCCTCTTTTGTTTCTCTTCATCATTATTTCTCCTCTTTAGCTCATTAGTCTTCTTCATTGATTTCTTCTTAATCATCAAGTTCCAATGTCGAAGTTATCTTCTTCATCGATTTCTTCTTCTTCAACTGCAAATGTGCTATCGGGTTCACTCTCCTAAAACGCATGAAAACAATAAGAAATAATATTTTTTTCTTTTTCTTTCCAACTTATATAGATAAATTAATAAATAATAATAATTAATATAAAAAATAAAAAATAAAAAGGAAGGAACATCTTTCTCATCTTCCTCTGCAACTATTCCATTTCTCTTTACACACCCCACCCCCTCCACCTCTCCCTCACCTTCTTTAATTTGTCTACTGCTCTTTCGTTCTATTTATTTTATTTTATGTAGATCAGATTAAAGTCTCAAATATTTTGGTGAAGATCTATTGTTTTCGATAAAAATAATATTCCGACGAAGCTTCATTATTTTCGATGAAAATAATATTCCGACGAATTGGGAGGAAATGAAGGGGCTTTAGTTTTTAGGTTTGAGGATTGAATATGTGGTGCTGACGTGTAATTGGGTTGAAGTATGATTGGTTGGAATTTCCACGTGGGGAAGGTTGATCTCACGCGCACAATCACCAAAAAATATTTGTTGAAGTTTGGTTCCACATCAGTCAACGGTGTTTAAAATGAACAAATTATGGGTGGTTCAATGATTTAATAGGAAAATAGCATAGTTGAGATACCTGAGGGGAAAAACCCAACAAATTTAGGGATCTGTTTATGTATTTAATAAACCTAATAACATCACATTTCAATAGTGGTAAGATAAAAAAAATAATGTGATACTTACAGACTATTTCTTGTATGTTGGGCATTACCAGTAACATATATGACTTCGAATGAGTGAGATTTGTTCTTTCCTTGGTATGATTCAAGAACAGACCAGTTGGTTCGGGCTTTTTGCTCAAAAAATCTGCTGGATTCAAGGTACTTTGGCAACATTATAGACAACTTTTGAATCTCGGCGCACAATTTTCTATTAGTCCTAGATGAGGACATCGAATCATACACCTTTATGCATTATTCCTTCAATACAATGACTGCCAAGATCCAATGAAACTCCCCATTACAATTTACAGAGACATAAACCTCATATGTGAGGTGCCAAGGCAGTCCAACAGGTAAACAAAACCCTTTGATAGTGCCAATGGTTTTATACTCATTTTCAGGAACAACACTGGCATTGTCAATGTATGTTTTAAAAAAACAAATAGTAGTGGTATATTGATATTTAGAATGACTCGGTTGCTTTGGCTTCTTCCGCAAATAGTTTAAAATGACATCCATATGCTGCACAGATGCATCAACAAGTGTATTTTTGTATCAATTATTTGTATGTATTCATGATTTAATCAAAACATAAAAGTAGGCATATATTTACCTCATGAGTCCAACACTTATTAGGTTGAGACATTACGTAAAGCCAGTCCTTCTTTTGGAAATACAACTACAAAATCAAGTTGTTTGAACTCAAGATTCGAGCAACTAGCTAAGTAGTTATCGTCCTTGTCTCTTATGCAATTGTGTAATTATTATAAATAATTATTTAGTGGACAACATGAAGAAATACTACTAATAGTTGAACAACTTTACTTTTTTGCATGATGCTTGTAAAGACCCTCATTTATCTGTTGCGAGAAGGATGAAATTAGTTCAGTTGGACCTTCACCGTCAATGTTAAAACCTTCAAATGGATATACTTGTTGCTTCACATCACAACTGAAGACTTTCTTCTCTTTTTCTCTTTCTCTTTCTCTTTCTGCTTCTCTTTCTCCTTCTCCTTCTCTTTCTCCTTGCCTTTTGGGGTTGAGTGTGGTGATACTAGAGCAGTAGTCATTGATTTTTTTCTTTTACTAATTATAGATAGTGATTGAGAAATAGATTTTTTCAACCTCCTACACTTCAAAGGTTGTGAAATCTTCTTGGATGTACAGACATCAATATTATAAGTCATTTTCTTAAAAATATTAGTGAGTTCTTTAACACGACTAATGAAATAATTATGTTGCTGCTCACATTCTTCGCATAGACAAAAGGAGCTTTTGATGTTAGAAGAGGAAGCAACACCAACAAAAGATTGAGATGTTGCCATAAATGAAGCTTCTTGTGTCATTTGATCTACAAGGTAAATAAAAAAAGGTTGAGACTTTACAATTGATTATAAAATAATAATGGGTAGCAATTTATACTTATGTTGACACAGTTGGACATTTTGTTGCCACAAATGGACATTATGTTGCCACAGATAAATCTTATGTTGCCATAGATGAATCTTCTGTTGCCACATATCTTCTGTTACTACAGATGAACATTTGTTGCCGTAACACATAGGTGAGATGTTCTAACATATGACAACTCTGTTGGAATATGTACCAACATATCACTAAAATGTTGTAACATACGACACATCTTTCAACAAATGAAATATATGTTGGACAATTGAATAAGACTATATTTCTAAAATCATATGAACAAAATGGTCACAAAAAGAACAACAAAAACAACAAAAAATGACTTTTCATTAAATGTTAACAATACATATACATTTCCTCAAAATTAGGGCTCTTTTGGGTTTGTTGATTTTTCTTTCAAAAATAATAAATAATAGGTACCATTACACCATTATTCAATTCTCACATCTATAGAACGATTTATTGTTCATTAACCCAAGAAAAAAACTTAGTATTGTTCGAAAATTGTAAAATCTTTCAAAAAAAAGACTTACCCATTTTAAGTCGAACATGATCCTCAGTTCAGAAAGAGGAGAGAGTCACGACCGGAGATGATGAGAAATATAAGATAATGGGGAGAATATTTGTTTTGATAGTCGGATTTTTGAATTTTCTAAGGAAGAAGAAGAAGAGAAGAGAGAGCGTTGAGAGAAGAAGAAGAAGAGAAAATTCTATTTTCTTTTACTTTTTTTTAAATGGTTTGAATAGAATTATAAAAGTTAAAAAATGAAGTGTTTTTTTTTAAATATTTTCTGAAAGATTAGAAAGTTTTGAAAATGTTAGTTTGATCCTAGATTTACTTAATTACATTTAAAGTGAATTTGACCATTTCTTGATCAAAGTGTCACCAAAATCAAAATCCAAACTTAATTTGAAACCTTTCATTTAATTTCCCGTATCCATGCCCACCCCTATTTGGCATGGAAATGAAATGCTACATCTGCCATAATTTGAAAGTGAAGGGATCAGTATTGAACATTGGTGAACCTCAAGGGTGTAAGCGATAACATAGCTCGAAAACTATCAACTCCTCTCACTGCCCCTCTTTTCGAGAGCAGCAGATAAACCCTCCTAAAATCCTTGAGGTGAACAGCGTCAGTTTCAAGTCCTGCTCGCAGCCATTGATCTTCTCTCTGAAGGTTTCTTCACAATTTTCCATTATGCTAAAACAGTTTCATACTCCCAGATCTTTAGTCCTTTTCTGCACTACTAAACCCCTTTGGAACTTAGAAATATCTATGAATTTTTCATGTGGGTTTCGCCCGAAATCTCACCAACATTCAATTACTGTTAGAAGTTTTTCAACGAAAATTGCAGAGGGTAGTGAAAAGAGTCTTCCTTGGCTTGGAAAAGATAAAGTGAAACAAACTAAAAGACCTGAAAAGGTGGTTGTAAACAGGTCTTCTTGGGGGGAATCGGCTGACAAGTTGTTTAAAGGTGCAGAGAAAAGTGTAGAACTTAAGAGATATGAGGATAGACGAGACAATTATAAGAGCACAGCTAATAGTGGAGAAGATGATGATGAAGGAGAAATGGATGATCCGAGATGGGATAAGATTAAGAGCAGGTTCAGTCGGATTAAGGTAAGACCGGGGTCTGATAGGCCAGAGGTTAGAAGGTGGAACAATCAAGATAGTTGGGGTAAAAAGACATGGAAAGAGGCGTCTGAATCAACCCTACCGAGAATGATAGGCGAGGGGGTTTATGGTGTTGGCCCTGTTTTAGCTGCATTGTCAGCTGGAAGAAGAGAATTTTATGGTCTCTATATTCAGGAAGGGTTGGATCTGAGTGGAAATAACAGGAAGAAGAAGGATAAGAAAGGGTTTGAGAGAGTTTTGAGGACAGCGGAGAAAGTTGGATTAAGTATAAAGGAAGTATCTAAACATGACCTCAATATGATTAGTGATAACAGGCCTCATCAGGGACTGGTCCTTGATACTTCTCCATTGGAAATGGTTGGTATCAAGGAATTGGAACCTGTTTCAATTGAGGAAGATACCACTCCTCTTTGGGTTGCTTTGGATGAGGTTACTGATCCTCAGAATTTGGGTGCAATTATACGGTCTGCTTACTTTTTCGGAGCTTCTGGGATTGTTTTGTGTGCTAAGAACTCTGCTCCATTGAGTGGGGTAGTGAGCAAAGCAAGTGCCGGCTCACTTGAATTAATGGAGCTGAGGTCTTGCAAGAATATGATGCAATTCCTAACGTCTTCGGCAGAAAATGGATGGCGGGTCCTAGGTGGTTCTGTTTCTTCAAGAGCTGTTCCGTTGCATGAGATTGTGCCTGGTGCTCCTACAATACTTGTTTTGGGAAGTGAAGGGACTGGTCTGAGACCATTGGTGGAGAGGTCATGTACTGAATTAGTTAGAATTCCGGGAAATATCCCGTTGGATATAATCGCTGCAGAAGATGAGGATGCTGAGAGTGATAATGGTATTTTAGGTCAGAACTTTAGATCCTTTATGGCTGTGGAAAGCTTGAATGTAAGTGTTGCAGCAGGTGTGCTTCTTCATCACTTGATTGGTAGCAAAAACAACTAACAACAAAAGCAAGCTTATGTAATTTTGATTGTTTCAGTGATATTCATTTGCATTTTCTTGGCCTTCTTTCTGTGCTATAACAAGGAATATTTTACAACACTTTTCTTTCGGAAGTACGCATACAGACATTTGGTGATTTTTCTGTAATGGATTGGCTTTGTTGGCATTGCATCTCAAATTGCTCTGTCCGAGATTGTTAAGGTTTTGTTGAACTTAGTTCAGCTTGTGATATTTCTATGCAAGGATTTGGTTGTTCTGGAGTTACCTTTGCAGGATGGGTAGGTTCGACAGAACTTGTTGAAATTGACTATGCATAAATGCATAAGGTATGTCAGATCAACTAGAGGACTGCCATTGCGAAGCTTGTTTGCAGGTTCTAAATGAAATTGCTTAGATAAATGTAGGTATTACTTTTTAGGAGAATTTGAACTGCTTAACACTACAATAAGGATAAAGGTTTTATGATGTTTGTTGTGGGATAGTAGCAGGGCTTATCCTTTTCTTCTTCTTTTATTTTTCAGTTGACTTCATTGTTACCTAGGGATTTTTAGTTTACTCTTAAGAGTCATGCCCTGGTTCTGGAATAACTAGAAGTTTGACAACAGACACATAATGAGCCCGGTTGAGTATTTTCTCGTGATTATAAAATGCTACAACCATGGATTTGAAGATAAAAGATCTTCAAATACTCTGGTGAGACTGTCAGTCATGTGCTTTTCTTCATATTATTGCCTGGAGTTTTCATGATTCCAAGGAGAATGGAAGATGCTCTTTTCAGGATTCCTTTGAAATATTAAATAGTTGTTCCTTCTCATGCACTTTTCTCAATTATCTGTTTTCAGCCCCCAGAATTCTGATCTTATCTCCTCCTTTTTCAATTAATGTTAAAAGATTTATCTGGTCCCAAACAGAGGCTAAAACCAATATTGGCAATACCTTCACCAAAGAAACAAAGTCGTCAAACGATCACCGAAATTGGAAGAGCAAGGCATTTCATTGTATGATGTACCATGTCCTAACTCTGTCGTTTATTACAGCTCACTTTTGCACCCAAAGAGGTGGCCTAGTGGTCAATGAAGTGAACTGAGAATCATGAGGTTCTAGATCTGATAGATAGTTTCCTTTTTCATATGTCCAAGCCTTGGTGAGCAGAGTTACCTCGTACCTATGCTGGTGGGAGATAGTAGGTTCTTCGTGTAATTAGTGCATGCAAGCTGGATAGTGATACATATCCACTATACTAAGGAATGCACAGAAACTTATGTGCAAGGTGTGTCTTCAAAGTGTTTGCATAACAACACTTTGTATTGTAAATGGCCGCTGTGCATGTAAACCGGCTCATATACCAATGTGATCTGGAAAAAAGAACTTCCCTTGAGTGACATCATAGAAAAATGTTATAGTGGTAACATTCATGGAGGTTTTCCTTTGCAGTGTAACAAATAACATATAGTTCTCCATAGTTATTAAGAAATGAATGAAACCTGGAAATGAATCATTTCCATATATTCATATAAAACATTTTCTTTCGTACCAAATGCATCCTGGATTCTTGTTTATTCCTCCAAAAGCAACCTCGTCTTGTTTGCATTTGTGAAGTTACTGCATTTATTTCTTGTTTCATTTTAGGTGCTCAGATGCTGCAAACACGCAACAGCCCTTACTCAATTACTAGACAACAATTAAAACAGGATGATTGCAATGGCAGAACATAAGATAACAGATTTAGAAGATCAATAGATATTTATAAGAAACACCTCCATGATTGTATACTTTCAACTGTGAACATACAATTGCAGGTTAAAAAAGGAGGAAAAACACTCAAATTGTGCTGCTTTTGCTTCCCTTAAATTGATGCCGAAATCTGACTATGCTGGGACATTATAGGGAGGTTCCTGTCCATATCCACACTAGTCTTTGGGCATGTATCCCATATCTATTATTCGTTATTTCATGACTTTATCATTGAAAATCATTAATATAAGACAATTTGGACATTGTTTGTGATTTCAAATGATCAATTGTGACAACTTAAACAACAGTGCTACTAATGTCATAATTGTTAGGAGCTTCTGAGTTTTGAAGAATGTCAAAGTGCATAGAACAGGTCGTGCCAACGTGATACAAAGTGTCTTATCGAAAACGAGTAGAAGGAGTTCACGATTAAGGAAAACTACGTGTAAGTTTTTCTGTGAAAGAAGCCGAGTACAAAGAGGAGTCCAAGTCGAGTTCGAGTTGAACAAGGCTTTAGGCGGTGAAGACAAGTTCGAGTTGAACAAGACTTTGAAGAAGCGTGATCTATAAATAGGGCATGGTTTCTTAGAGAAAGTTGTGCATTTACATTGAGAGAAAATCAAAACACGATCAAGAGTTTTGATATTTACTTGGGGAGTGCTGCAAGTTGAGAGAAAAGTTGTACGATTGTAGTCAAGAGTTTTTGAATACAATCAAGTGTTGAGAGTAGGTTTCGTTTAACAAGTTTGAAGAACTTGAAGAACGATAGAAGACTTAAACCTGGGGTTTTTGTCTTGGGTAGCTAGGAATTAGAGTTTATAATTCCTTAGGTTACTTAGTTGTGTAATCACTGTGTTATTTGAAGGTGTTATAAATAATACTCCCTCCGTCCCATTTTATGTGACACCATTTCCTTTTTGGTCAGTCCAAAAAAAAATGTCACATTTTCTTATATGATAAGTATTTAAAGATATAATTCCTCTTTTATTCTTGTTGGTCCCACTTAATCTTAAAATAATATTCCAATACATTTATGAGGAGAGAGAAAAGTGAGTTTACTTTTTAAAGAGCAATTTGGTAAACATTTCAAAGTCTTCATTTATTTCTTAAACTCCGTGTCCGGTCAAATGTTGCCACATAAAATGAGACGGAGGGAGTACAAAGTTTTGAACGAGTTATTCTTTTACTGTTAACTTCAAATAGTGAGGAACAAGTAGTAAATACGTGTTCCTTTATAGAATTAAGGAGGTAAGAATTTCAACAAGTGGTATCAGAGCGAATTATCTTAATCAAGAGTCTAATAACTCAAGATAAAGATCATTATGAGTTCTGCACCTCCTCTCGGACATGATCAAGGGCAACACATCAACAGACCACCATTATTCAATGGTCAATACTACTCATGGTGGAAGACAAGGATGGATGACTTTATCCAAGCTGAAGACTATGAACTATGGGTTAGAATCACTGATGGGCCTTTAATCCCTACTGTTAAGGATATTGAAGGAAAAGATGTTCCAAAACCTAAAGAAAAATATGGAGAAGCTGACTACAAGATGCTGGGAAAAAATGCAAAAGCTAAATGCATTTTTGTAAGTGGACTAGGACTTGATTAGTTTAATCGCATCTCAAGCTGTACCTCCGCTAAACAAATATGGGATACTCTATAGAATGCTCATGAAGGTACAACTCAAGTTCAAAAATTCAGAATTGCTAGGCTATGCTTTGAATACGAAACCTTCAAGATGAAATCTGGAGAATCGCTTCAAGACATGATCACCAGATTTACTACTGTAGTAAACGAGTTAATCTCCTTGGGAAAAGTATACACCACTGAGTAACAGGTAGACAAAGTGCTTAGGACCTTGTCTAGATTATGGGAAATAAAAGTCACTGCAATCAGAGAAGCCAAAGATTTAACCAACATGACTTTGGATGAACTGGTAGATAATCTCAAAACATATGAGATGAATGTTTATAAAAGAAGTGAGGGAAGCCAAGAAAAAATTCTTGGACTCAAAGCAACTGAAAGTGATGAATTCGATATAGATGATGAAGACTTAGCACTAATCAGCAGAAACTTCAAAATATTCTTCAAAAGGGGCATAAATTCTGGAAAAAAGGCACCAGCCATAAAAGAAAAGAGTACAGAGAAACCCCAAAACGGAGGATGCTTCAAGTGTGGAAAAACTGATCATCAAATTAAGGATTGTCCTATGTGGGAAGTAGAACTGAAAAAGGAAAGGGCTAAAAAAGAGAAGAAGGATTTTTTGAACAAAAGAAAAAACAAAGAGAAAGAGTAAGCTATGTATACAGCCTGGGGAACAGGTTCAGAGATGTATGGAGAAGATGCTGATAACATTGCCTTGATGGCCATAGAAGAATCGGAACCTGCTGACTTAGACTCTGAAGAAAAAGAGGTAAACCTTCTTGATCTCAAAGATAAGCGAATAAAATTCTCGAAGACAAGACTATCTTTTCTCATGGTCACATCTATAGACACAATTCAGGAACTAGTTAAAACCAAGAATCAGATACTTGCCTCCCTAACAAGTTTAAAATTTGAATATATGGATCTTGAAAAACTCAATGCTAACCTAAAAGAGAAAAATAAGCTTTTGTCACTAAAAGTTCAGCAACTAGAGTCTTGGAACATGTCCAATAAAACTGAAATCCTAAAACTTAAAGAAATAGGGAAAGAAAAAATATGTGATAAGTCAAAAGATGAACTTGAAATTAAAAGGCTCAAAAACGATTTATGCTCTGAAAAAGAAAAATCAGCAAAGATGAGACTTGAACTATCTAGGAATAAATATGAGCTTGAACAAGCAAATAAATGGACTAAGTCTTCTATGATTGACATCTGGGGAATAATCACTGAGATAAAAAAAACTAGAATAGGCTTTGATCAGCCTAAAATTGATAATCCCTTGCTATGCATCATCTGTGGTAACTCAGGTCACTCTAAGATCAATTGCCCATAATACAGAGTCGCCATTAACAATAAAACAAAAGGCACATATCAGCCACTTCAAACGAATAGGTATACTCAAAAGAAATCTAATCTACCTAAATGGATACATAGAGATCTTATTCATCCGTTTGATTCTAATAAAGGACCCAAGTTAATCTGGGTGCCTAAAACTAACCTTTGAAATTCTTTCAGAAAAAAGTGAGAGAAAGCAAGCAACATTGGTACATGGATAGTGCTTGTTCAAGACACATGACTGGAGATACATCACAATTTCTCTCACTTAAAGAAGGAAGAGGTGGAATGGTAGCTTTTGGTGGAG